GTGTGAGGCCAGAGAGGCCCTGCCCCTGGCTGGACCCAACCAACACCAGGTAACTCTTCTAATTTAAAATAAAAGGTACTCATGGACTGAGTATGAATAAAAAGAAGTTGCCAAAATTAATGATTTACCTTATACTAACGCTTTTGCCGGTCATCTGAAGTGGGTTTTGCCCTCGAAAGCTCATGATACCATCTACATGTTTTTGAGGCCAGAGAGGCCCTGCCCCTGGCTGGACCCAACCAACACCAGGTAACTCTTCTAATTTAAAATAAAAGGTACTCATGGACTGAGTATGAATAAAAAGAAGTTGCCAAAATTAATGATTTACCTTATACTAACGCTTTTGCCGGTCATCTGAAGTGGGTTTTGCCCTCGAAAGCTCATGATACCATCTACATGTTTTGTTAGTCTATAAGGTGCTACTAGTCTATTTGTTTGGATTTTTTTTTTTTTTGAAGTTTTTCCTGTTACAGACTAACTCGGCTACCTCTCTGAAGCACCTTAACTTCACTTTTGGATAAATAACTGTACAGTTCTTCACAATGGTGTGATCGAATTCTAATTAATGCAATAACTACTAAAATGTCATCCACGCACTTGAAACTGAATAGTATTTGTTTAAATACTTTACATTAAAATGGTCAGGGCAATAAAGATCAATTATAAGGATGTTTAAAACAGTTTGACTTTCATGGTTTAGTTCTCTTATAGATGGAGCCTTGAAAGAAAAAAGTAGTTTCAATGGGATAACATTTTCTTTCCAGAAATGTCAACAGGTGAGTATTTCAAATGACATACATGCCCTTTAGGAAAGTTCTGTACTGTGTTGTAAGCAAAACTCGTGAAGTCATTCTGCCGCTCTACTCTGCACTAGTTAGGCCTCAGCTGGAGTACTGTGTCCAGTTCTGGGCGCCACATTTCAAGAAAGATGTGGAGAAATTGGAAAGGGTATAGAGAAGAGCGACAAGAATGATTAAAGGTCTAGAGAACATGACCTATGAAGCCAAGCTTCATGAACTGGGCTTGTTTAGTCTGGAAAAAAGAAGATTAAGGGGGGACATGATAGCGGTTTTCAAATATCTAAAAGGGTGTCACAAGGAGGAAGGAGAAAATGTGTTCCTCTTGGTTACTGAGGACAGGACAAGGAGTATTGGGCTTAAAGTGCAGCAGGGGAGGTTTAGATTGGACATTAGGAAAAAATTCCTAACTGTCAGGGTGGTCAAATATTGGAATAAATTGCCAAGGGAGGTGGTGGAATCTCCCTCTCTGGAGATATTTAAGAACAGGTTAGATAGACATCTGTCAGGGATGGTGTAGACGGAGCTTGGTCCTGCCTTGAGGGCGGGGGGGCTGGACTCGATGACCTCTCGAGGTCCCTTCCAGTCCTATGATTCTATGATCTGTAGGCTGTCGTATATGATTTCTTATTCTAACTACTTAACAACATTGTAAAATTCCAACAAAATGAAAGCGATATGCTTGTTAACTTAACTAGTAATAAAGTCAGATCCCATAGTTCACCTGCAGTCCATCAGGTAGGTAAACCCATTATCCACCCACAGACATTTTGCTTAGCTAAATCAGCCTAGATTCCAATCAAGTCAGAATATCATGTCAGAACCACAGAATTTTCTTGCCAGTCTACCTACTAAAGAAAAGGTTTTTCTAGAGTAAGACAGGCCCATGTGAAAGCCAACCCTTTCAAAGCTAAACCAAACTAGAAAGTCAATGAGTCATAACCACAATTGTGATCTGATCTTTAAAACACAGTTTGAGATGTCAATGTCAAATGCAAACGTAATACATATATGCAAAATTCTGAAAAGCTGCATGAGTTAATTCCAACACACACACACACACACACACACACACACACACACAGAGAGAGCCAGTGTGCTTCAAAGCAGATAACATCAGAGTTCATGTCATGCTCAGAAGACAGGCATTGCAAAGGAAAAAAATACTGGCAATGAGATCAGCCTCTTATCGCTGGAGATGTTACAGAGTCTCAAATGCTTACCAGCTTAATTATACCATAAACACATAATTTCCCTCAGGGTAGAGTCACTTCAAAAACCCTCACCAAAAAGCAGTGCTCGCAGAGTCAGGGTGAAGCACTTCTCATACGGCAAAACTAAACGAAAGGCTCTGACTGGAAAGCAGTCCCTTTCTTCACAAGTCTTAATAGCAAAATAAGGTATTTTACCCAGTAATGAAAATAAGTTTCCTCAAGTCGCACACAGGTGTCCCCTGGCCCTGGATGTCTCCACGCCACCCTCACTCTGCTCCTGTTTCAACACCCTCCTCGCTACGCTCTGCAACACACACCCCACAGCCTCAGACCACTCCCTCAGACACCCCCTACCTCTCCCACCCACCCACCCCGCCCCCTCACACCCCTCCACACACCCCCCCCTACCTCTCCCACCCACCCACCGCGCCCCCTCACACCCCTCCACGCACAGACATATGCTGCTCCCGCGCCCGTTCCCTACCCGCCCAGGCACCCCTGCCGCATCCCCCGCCCCCTCAGCCCTCTGTGCGCCCCTCCCCAGCTCCCCCCGCCGCCGGGCCCTACCCCCATCCCCGCACAGGGCCCCTTCCCGCGCTCTGGGGGGAAGGCCGGGGCCCTCCCGGGCGGCTGCTACTCACTGGAGTCCGGGGGGAGCCCAGTCAGGAGAGGGAAGCGGTGGCAGCCCAGAGCCCGGCCCCCCTCCCAGAGCCGCCGCCCCCAGCCCCGCAGGCTGCGTTTTTTTTTTTTTTTTTTTTTTTTTTAATGGAGAAACTTTATTCGTTTCCCTCACAAGCGACAGCTACGGGAGAACCGAAGCTCAATCGCTGCGCATGCGCTCACGCCCCATGGGCTCAGCGCCTCCAATCAGACCGCATAAAAACACACTGACGGCAAGGCGGGCGGGGCTGGACCGCAGCCGCAAGGCGTCCTGGGACATGTAGTCTCTACAGGGGCAATCCGATGGGCCTTAGCCATTGAGAGGAGAGTGGAACGTTGCATTTTGGCACTCGAAGTCCCGCCGGGTTGAACCACAGGGCTAAGGCGCCTGTGCGGTGATAACACAGCGAGGCATGCTTGGCAGTGGGGGCAATTCCTAGTGTCTAAAAGTCACCAGCTGGGCTCCAGAATAATGAATGGGCCCCAATTTAAACCTGGAGATTCCAAAAATAGTAAATTAGAGGGGGAAGTAATTTGCCTTGAGTTTTTCGAGTTGTTCAGGTTCCTGTTTGCTATCTTTTATTCACAATTCCAAGGCAGAAAATTACTAGGTTACATGAAAACTGATATTCTCACATAAACAAAATCATGAACGTTGACAATAGAATGGATCTACTTTCCTGATAGGGCCACCTTGCATAGTGAGAACTATTGGCTCCACAGGGCTTCACTTTGTCCTGGAAGGGAAAGGAATACTGTAGTGGCAGACTCTCCTTTTTAACCGTTTTATATGTATAGAGAAACACAAACAAACAAACCAAAAGCTGCAAAAGGCCTTATCTCTAAGGTGAATAACCAAAGAGCTTTGCATGCTGGGAAGCAACTTTTGTGTAGGACCATTCCTCAGATTTGGGTATTGCAATATTCCCTGTAAACTAGGTCCCTGGGCAGCTGCCCCGAAGAGATTCAAATGCCGCTCAGCTATTTACCAGAGTGCCCACAACAGACAGCATGTGTTTTTACTGGTGGTGCACATTGCACATGCCTCAATACACATAACATGATTTATTCCACACATGGATGGAAAAAAATTAGAGGGAACATTGCAACCTCCTGATACTTGTCATCTCTGGAGCCACACCTATCAAATGGATCATTTGGAATCATAGTATGCTAACCCCTCATCCCTGTTGTCTGAGATTACAAATTAGAAAGTGCTTTGACATTGTAAAGTTCTGTACAACTGAGATATTAATGCACAATAATTAGATCGTTGATGTTTTCTGTCATTTAGAGGATATATATATACAGTACTTAAAAAGGAAAACTTATTTTTATCAGTAACAGTAAAACTCCCAAATGAAAGAATGTAACTTGGTTACGGTGGCCCTAAGTTCCATTTTGGCTGGGATAGTCCCTTTTTTAAGATTTATCACAGCCGTCCCGACTATTTAGCAAAAGTGAGCATTTGTCCTGTTTGCTCTTGTTAACTAGATCAGTTGGCAAAAGTAAAGAGCAAGAGCAAACTGGATAAATGCCCACTTTTGTCAAAAAAGTGGGATGTGGTACCGAGTAACATATGGCGGAAAAGTGGGGATGCCAACCCCATGCAGGGGAGAGGCTCAGCTGGAGTGGGAGGGAGGGGGAGAAAGAAAGGGTTCTAGTGTATGGCAGGCCTGTAGGTTTCAAGTGACCAGCTATAGGCATGGGTGGGGGGACCAGCAGGATTCAAGTGACCAGTGGCAGTCTGGGGTGGCACCTTGAGCCAGTAGCTATGGTGCCCCCTCATAGTCCCATGCACTGCCCCATCATCCCTTTGGGAATTATGGTCACCCTACATTTGGTATTTCTACAAAATGCTGCATCTTAAATGATTAAGTGGTGACTCATTACTCTAATCCACTGATAGTCCCATAGATGCATGATGGGCTGCTATTAGAAAGATTGTAAATTTGCAGTAGACAGCCCCTGAATCTAGTCAATTTTCTTATGAACCGTTATAGAATAAATACTTGCTGCATACATCATACAGTGAGAATCCTGGTGAGTGACTTCTTCTCATCCATAAAGTCACAATTTGTCTCCTGCTGCAGCATAAAAAAAAATTACTGGATACTAACACTGGAATCATGGTGACCATCCGTGTGAAGACACAGCAGCCATGTTACTGGTATTGAATGATTGTACAATGTTCAATATTGCCAAACTTAGGAGTTTAATCATGAGTCACATACCAAAATCATCAGATTGTCTTAAAAGTCATGAAATTTTACAGATATTTAAAGTTCTTTATTTTTCTTCTCATTTATGGGCATGTGATAACATTGGCAACCATAGAATCATAGAACACTAGAACTGGAAGGGACCTCGAGAGGTCATCGAGTCCAGTCCCCTGCCCTCACGGCAGGACCAAGCACCGTGTAGAGTAGACAATCTCCGATAGATGTCTGTCTATCCTGCTCTTACATATCTCCAGAGATAGAGATTCCACAACCTCCCTAAGCAATTTATTTCACCACCCTGACAGTTAGGAAGTTTTTCCTAATATCCAGCCTAAACCTCCCTTGCTGCAGTTTAAGCCCATTGTTTCTTGTCCTATCCTCAGAGGCCAAGGAGAACAATTTTTCTTCCTCCTCCTTGTAACTTTCTTTTAGGTACTTGAAAACCACTACCATGTCCTCTCTCAGTCTTCTCTTTTTTAAACTAGACAAGCCCAATTTTTTCAGTCTTCTCTCAAAGCTTATGTCCTCTAGACCTTTAGTCATTCTTGTTGCTCTTCTCTGGACCTTTTCCAATTTCTCCACATCTTTCTTGAAAAATGGTGCCCAGAACTGGACACAATACTACAGCTGAGGCCTAATTAGCGCAGAGTAGAGCAGAAGAATGACTTCTTGTGTCTTGCTCACAACACTCCTGTAAATGCATCCCAGAATCATGTTTGCTTTTTTTGCAACAGCATCACACTGTTGACTCAAATTTAGTTTGTAGTCCACTATGACCCTAGATCTCTTTCTGCAGTACTCCATGATGACTATAAACTTTTTTTAAAAATGAAACCTGAGATGGTTATATAATTACCTGATTCCAAGAGCTAGGACTTTCAGAAAAACACATACTATTACAAAACTCAAGATAAAATCAGGAGAGCTGGGATCACTGTATGGCAGACACCTTTCCTTATTCCTGTTATAATTAACATTTTAATTGCCAGATGACCTAGAGGCCTCAACTAGGTTGAGTCTCCATTATGACAGGCACTGTTCAAATATATAGTAAATGACAATACCCACTGCAAAAGCTTTACAGTCTAAAAAACTGCAAAACTACTAGTTTCCTGGAGACGTCCTTGCCTCACCATATTAATTCATATGGATGGATAGAATTAAGAAATATTTCAATAATGTGAGATCTCACCACAGGTTATTTTACCATGTATTTGCCAACAAACAACACTTGTATAATTTAATATTAATATAACACTATTTATCTTTGAAATATTGCATGATATAAAACATCCATTCATCTTCATTCACCAAGACACATGATAAAAAGGTCACCTGATAAAAATCAGAGTTACAAAAGGGTATACCCCTATCACATAACAAAAAATGCAGTAAATCTTATTGACCTAATTTTCTAGATGGGGAACTGAAGCAGAGAATTTTCAGGAGCCAGGGTCAGAGAAACGATCAAAGATTCACTTCAGGTCTGATCTAAAGGACATTTCAGTCAATGAAAAGATTGCCATTGACTGACCACACCAGTTGCCAGTAACAATTTCCAATAATGATATTAACTAGTTTTAATGATAATCTGCTTCCACTCTAAACACAACCATTTCTACTGAAATATTTAATGTGGTCCAAAGTAGTAATAAAGAAAAGCTTTTCCTAGCTTAGAGCAGTGTCATCTCTAAAAATGGAATGCGTTTAAACTCAATCCTTGCATGTAAATACCTCTTTGTTCCAGGCTGGCATTTAATAACTGTACTTTATAGTGAAACAAAAGCTGTAATCAGAGTTACAACAATGAAAGCTGAAGTCACTTCTCTGAACAAAGTGTTACAATTCCCATGGCAACTTTTTCCTACTAAGTCCTTGATAGGTCACAAAATTTGCAGCTGTGTGGGCCAGACGACTTTCAAAATGAACTCCATTCACAATTATTCATACATTTTAATGATTTGTAGTTACCACTGTTTTACTGAAGTTAACATAAGGCATCAGCATTAAAGTAGCAGAAAAAAACAGCCCCCAATTTGGCATTACTTGTGCACCCAAAACTGCCTGAGGAATATTGGTCCAGGATGTGGCTCACAGTTATACTGTGTGCAGAATGAGGCAGAGATCTAGTGGAAAAAACAGCATGTGACCATGTAACAAAACATTGTTTCATTATGTTTAGATGCAAAAAGACAGAATTAAAATTGCACAAAATCTAAATTCTGGCATCTCTTAACTTTCAAGTTCTTGACTTTGTGTCCTAAGTAACATTATTTCAGAATAGCTCCTTTGTATATTTTTTAAAGTAAAAAACAAATTCCAAGATGTGAAACTTTAACAATCCCCTCCTTGTGAATCACCAGTAGAGTCTAAACCAGTGGTGTCTCCAACCTTTTAAACCACAAGATCACTTTTTCAATTTAAGTGCAATGTAAGATCTACCTCAAATCTAAATACCCTTGCCCCGCTTCCTTCCTGCCCCTTCTCTGAGGCCTTGCCCTTGCTCCATCCTTTCTCTGAGGCCTCACCCTACCTGCTCCATCCCCCTTCTTTCCCCAATCTCATTCACTTTCACGAAGCTGGGATAGGGAGTTGGGGTGCAGGCTCTAGTTTTGGACCAAGTTCAGAGTGTGGGAGAGGTTCCGAGCTTAGTCCAGGGTGGGGAATTGGGGTCAAGGAGTGGGTTTAGGGTGCAAGCTCTAGGAAGGAGTTTGGGTGCAGGGGAACTCATATCTGGGGCAGGAGGGAGTTCAGGACTGGGACAGGGATTCAGGATGCATGTTCTGGCTGGGCACCACTTCACTGAGACGACTTGGCCCTGTACCCCTCCTGAAAGCA